ACAGTCAGCCTCTGGCCCCTAGAAGCCATGTCAAATCCCAGAGAGTGGTGATTTCTGGCCCAAACCATCAGCTTGGTCATCATCAGCCTCTGCTCTCAGGAAACAACCATCCCATTTTGGAAGGAAACCAGGCTTTCACTTGTATTTAGGCCAAAGCAGACCAGAACCTCCATCTGCATCCAGAAGGATCCAGAACACACCCTTTGCTCAAGCTTGCAGGAACAGCTAGTGTTGGCCAGACAAGTTGGGATATCAGTAAGTGAGGTGTCACCATTCAGAGCAGAAAATCAGTGGGGTGGGGCAAGAGAGAAAGCAAGAGGTGGATGCTCAGACCTAATGGTGTCATTAATGCCAATTAAGGAAATGGCTCATTATCACCATCTAGTCATTGCCATTACAGGTGTGCCCCCAGACGCCCACCAGGACGCAGCCATTAAGTGCCCACCCTCTCCCCTCCTCCTACTCTCGCCACATCCCCTGGGGTTAAGGCTGTTCCTCTGCCTGCACCTGTCCTCAGGTACAGCTCCCTGAATCAGATGCCTGAGTACAGCCTGAGAAAGACCTGCCTTCAGATGTGGGATATCATGGGAGATATTCAAGAGGCTGATAAATTCCCAAGTCTAGAGTAGACAGGAGCATCACTGGACTATCTTCTAAAAGTAAGGTCCAAGAATCTTCAGGAAGGACACACACATTTGTTAATGCTTCTACATATAACCACAATTCTTACCTTGGGGAGGTGGGCACCATGATTCAGACAGATTAAAAGGCATAGGCACAGGGCTCAAGGTTTCAAAGTCATGTCACTGTGACTCCAAAGATTCCTGAGCCTGTCCTTCCAAATTTCACTCAAAAGAGGCAGGGGGCTGATTGGAGTTTAAAAGCCCAGGCTCAGGAGCCAGACAGGACTGGGTTCAGATCTACCCTTTACAACTGTGCCAGTCACATCACACCTGTCAGCCCCAGGCTCCAAATGCAGAGAAGAGCCTATCTTAGGGTGGTAGAGAACCAAGCAGGTTCCTGGCACCTAATGAATACTCAATAAATGGTCTTCTGTGTGGAAAAAACAGGGTTTGGCCCCAGAGAAGAATCCAGGGGTGGCCATGGTGGTGGATGACAGTCCCACAGCTACATGACCCAGATAGGGTAAGAGTCTTGGCTTCAGCCCCGGGGAGGCACTGCCAGAGCCTTGGTCTCTGCCCTGCCCTTCTATGACACAATGTCCCTTCTTTGCTCTGAGTCCCCGGTTTCTCCACCCTGCCCTGTGCCAACAACCCCCCAGTCTCCCACTCCACTCCAGACTTGACGTGAGTCCTATAACCATTAAGCACTTAACATCATGTTTCCCACCTTCAGAGGTTTCTAAACAGTAATTAGGCAGTGGAACACCCCGCCAGGGTGGCAAGAATAAATATCATTAGTGTAGGAGGCATTGTGGAGTAAGTGGAGGTGCTTGGAGGCTTGGCACACAGCACGGACAGAGCTGGCCTGAGGGTGGCCAAAGCCCAGCAAGCCAGTTCCATCACCAGACCCCCAGCTGCCCAGCCCTGTCTCTTGGGGGACAAAGCTCTGAAGCTGCAAGGGCAGGTGGTGATGTAGGAAGAGCAACTGGTTTGGATATCATAAAGTCTGACTTTAGGATCTGTCCCTGCCACAGTGGATTTGGACAAGACGTCTGACCACTCTGCTCATTTTCTCATCTTCAGAATGGGAATTATTCTATCATTCTCACAGGGTAGTGGTAGTATTTTTTTTTTTTGGACAGGCAGAGTTAGACAGTGAGAGACAGAGAGAAAGGTCTTCCTTCCATTGGTTCACCCCACAAATGGCCACTACAGCTGGTATGCTGTGCCGATCTGAAGCCAGGAGCCAGGCACTTCCTCCTGGTCTCCCACACGGGTGCAGGCGCCCAAGCACTTGGGCCATCCTCCACTGCACTCCCTGGTCACAGCAGAGAGCCGGACTGGAAGAGGAGCAACTGGGATTAGAACCAGGCGCCCATATGGGATGCTGGCACTGGAGGTGGAGGATTAGCTAAGTGAGCCACGGCGTCAGCCCCAAAATTTTTTTTTTTTTTTTTTTTTTTTTTGAGACATAGCATGTGAAGTAGCAAGCATTGTACTTTAGACAGAAAGAAGATGTTTGCTTGGGCAGCACATGTACTAAAACTGGAAAGATACAGACAAGATGAACAGGGCCCCTGCACAAGAATGTTATGAAGTTCCTGATGCATTCTGTATTTATAAAACAGAATTTGGCTGGTGCTGTGGCTCACTAGGCTAATCCTCCACCTGCGGCGCTGGAAACCCAAGTTCTAGTCCCAGTTGGGGCACTGGATTCTGTCCCGATTGCTCTTCTTCCAGTCCAGCTCTCTGCTGTGGCCCAGGAAGGCAGTGGAGGATGATCCACATGCTTTGGCCCTGCACCCACATGGGAGACCAGGAGGAAGCACCTGGCTCCTGGCTTCAGATCAGCACAGTGTGCCAGCCACAACATGCCAGCCATAGCGACCACTTGGGGAGTGAACCAACGGAAAAAGGAAGACCTTTCTCTCTCTCTCTCTCTCTCTCACTGTATAACTCTGCTTGTCAAAAAAAAAAAGAAAGAAAGAAAGAAAAAAAAAAAAAAAAAACAGAGTAAGATTCTGTAAGTCGGAGCCCTGCTACTGCTTTGGTGTAGTCACAGAAATGCAAATTCCAAAGTCATAGGGTAAGTGCCAATCATGTGTACCCCAAACTCCCCTTTAAAAATCTCTGTATTGGGGCACACATTTGACCTAATGGTTAAGATGCCCAGAGCCTACATCAGAGTGCCAGGATTTGAACCCCGCCTCCAGCTTCTAAATCCAGCTTTCTGCTACTGCAGCTTCTTGGAGGTAACAATGATGGCTCAGATGATTGGGTTAGGAGCGTCCATCCTTGGCCTGGCCCAGCCCTGGCCATTCTGAGAATCTGGGGAGTGAACCAGCACATGGGCATTCTGGATGTATATGTGCACACATGTGGGTGCATGTGCACACATTTCTGCCTCTCCAAAAAAAAAGAAAGAACAAAATAATAAAGTTTTTAAATCTCTGTATCATGGTGGGTGGGGTCATACTATTGTGACAAATAAAACCAAAATCTTAGCTAAGACCATGAAGATTTCTCTCACACTCAGTGCCACATGTTTCCCATCACATAGGCAGGGTGGCTTGGTTTCCCACAGTCACTCAAGATCCCCGGCCTACAAAGCAGCTACCAATGGTTACCATGCCAGAGAGAAAGACAGCTTGAAGGGCTCATGCACTAGCAATTGTGTACTTTTTTTTTTTTTTTTTTGACAGGCAGAGTGGACAGTGAGAGAGAGAGACAGAGAGAAAGGTCTTCCTTTGCCGTTGGTTCACCCTCCAATGGCCGCCGCGGCTGGCACACTGCAGCCGGCGCACCACGCTGATCTGATGTCAGGAGCCAGGTACTTCTCCTGGTCTCCCATGGGGTGCAGGGCCCAAGTACCTGGGCCATCCTCCACTGTACTCCCGGGCCACAGCAGAGAGCTGGCCTGGAAGAGGGGCAACCGGGACAGAATCTGGCGCCCCGACCGGGACTAGAACCCAGTGTGCCAGCGCCACAAGGTGGAAGATTAGCCTAGTGAGCCGCGGCGCTGGCCACAATTGTGTGCTTTAACCCATGCTGGTGCCCATCAGTTCTACTCACAACTCATTGGCTAGAACTTGTCATATGGCCCACCCGAGCTTAAGATTGTTCAATCTGGGGCTGCTATTATAGTGCAAAGGGTTGAACCACCACCTGGGACACCAGCATCCCATGTTGGAGTGCTGATTTGAGACCTGGCTGCTTCACTTTCAACCCAGATCCCTGCTAATGTACCTGGGAAAGCAGCAGAAGAGGGTCCAAGTACTTGGGCCCCTGACACCCATGTGAGAGATGCAGAATGAGCTCCCGCCTCCCGGCTTGGGCCTAGCCCGGCCCTGCCTATAGTGGCCATTTGGGCAGTGAACCAGCAAATGGAAGATCTCTCTATCTCTCACTCTCTGTCACTATGCGTTTCAAATAAATAATCTTTTTTTAAAAAATCGTTCAGTCTTCTCTGTCCTCAGAAGGAGCAAAAGGACCAGGGACTAGGGAGCATCATGAATCACTATCAGAGGAAACTCGCGCCTCCTCTCAGCTTGTCGACAGACAGATTTTCACTCCACTGCTGGAACAAATCCCCACTTCTTCACCTGAGCACAAGAGACAGAATAGAAGCACACCTGGGGTAATGTTGCCTAGAAATACCCAAACTGTTAACTCCCAGAATCACACTCAGTGCTGCAAGGCCCACACGCGTGACATCAGAAAATTCCCTTCTCCCCTACACGCCCATGCTGTACCTGAGCTCACTGAGAAAAATAGCACTCAGAATCGTCTGTGCATCTCAATGTTTGCTTTCCTCTCATTTTTTTGGTCTCAAAGCTGAATCGTGTAAGTTAAATGCCTGTGAGATATAAAGCACTGTACTAACACAGCCTTCTGGATCTCAGCGGACTCTAATGGTGGAAAGAAGAGAGCCTTCCAAGGCTGTGCACATTAAGTCCCCAGCCTGAGAGCTGTCCCCCTAAGGCTTCCTGTGTCTCTCTCAGAGCCTAGAATACGGTCCCTTCCTTCTCCTCCTCTCTCTCTCCTTCTACACTGCAGTTGCTGCAGAGAGGTTTGGCCGAAGCTTCATGGAAGACCATGGTGATCTCATGGAAGACCATGATGATAAGACCATCATGATATCTGTTATGGATCAGGTTCCTGTTGAAGGTACCATTTGGCCAATCACTCTGGCTGAGATGACGGAAGATGGTCTTGATGCCCAAAGAGTCAGACTTTCTCTGGAAGACCTTAAAATCCGTCTTCCCAGCTCCTTGGTCAACTAAAGCACTATGTGTCATGAACTAAAGTACCATGTACTTGAGAACCTTGGTTCTGAAAGTCCTCTGGAGTCCGCAGTTGCAACCCAACTTGAAGTGGTGCAAGTCTCAGGTTCCAGGTAAAAGGAGGGCAGAGTTCTGGGTCTAAGCCAGTGTCAGCTGTAGGCTACCACCTGTGGGAGCCAGAGTCCTCACCTAACAGTGATCAGTTACTTCTCCTAAGCAATGACCTGGGCTTACGTCAGAAGTCAAAATTCAATGGAAGGATATGAATCTTGATTGGGCACCTACTCTGTGCCAAGCATAAGACTGGGGCTTTACCTGGGCTATCCCAGGACCATTTAAGGACGGCCTTCTTTTCCATTTTACAGACAAGGAAACTAAAGCTCTGAAAGGCGAAGAGGCTTGCTCAGCCCATGGAGTTTAGACTTCAGTATGGCGCGTCTGCCTCAAGAGGTCTTAAGTCTTGGTCTCCACTCTCCTGGATCCACCTTGGGAAAGAAATTCTCATTGCCTCCACCTAGATTTCAAACTAGGCAGGGAGGAACAATGGGTTGAGAAAGAGAGCAATACTGCCAGGCTGGTCCTTGGAGATAAGAGGCTATGTGGTAAGCAGCCAGGAAAGCTGGAAATGCGGATAAGCCCCACCCACCCAGATGCTTGTTCTAAGTCTACTGGTCCATGTCTTCCAAAAGAGGCTTCCAAGTCTGGACTTGTGATTAATCACAGATGCAATTACCCTCCTGCACACACAGATTGAGTGCTAAGACACAGACTCTCCGTGTGTGCCTTCTTTCACGACCACCTTGACACTGGTGAGCCTGTGAAGCCATTTCCCCTGCTTGTTCCACCTCGAAACCATTCCGACATCCATCCCCCTCCTTCTCATCTCCATGGCTGCAATAATCCAGGTCCCATTTTCCAGGATTTTGCAACAGTTTCCTAACTGGTTTTCTGGCTCCCAGCCTCTCCCATCATCCAACTCAATCTTCCTGTAAGCTATCAGAGCCATCTTCTTAAAATGCTGATCTGACACCGTCGTATCCAAATTGAAAGCAAGCAAACAGAAAACTGTCAATGGATCCCATTACTCTCAGGATTGAGTCCAGATTCCTGGTCATTGGCCTCAATATTGCTTCATAATCCAGTTCCATTCGCCTCACCCACCTAGCTCCCTCCACTTCACGTGCTTCCCCTGCTCTACTCATCCCTCACTGCTTTCTCATGCACATCATTTTCTTTCATGGTTCCAAGCCTTTGCCAGGGAGGCCTTTCTCCAAATTCTCATCTTCATGCAACTCCACTTGGCTGCAAATACATAGTAACAGTCACTAAAATGTGGATATTCAGGATCTTTTTCTCTCATACTTCCCCAGGCAGAATCAACGTCCAATGTCCCTCACCAGGAAATCTAAGGAGTGCAGTCAGACTGAGTTACCTACTTAGCAAAGAGATGTATGTGGGCAGAACACAATTTTTTAAAAATGCAAGAGAATTAAGAGTAGGGGAGGCATATAGCATTGACAGTTGATGGGAAGTGGAGGAAACTTAAGGGAGCTTCCATGTAGAGGATATTGAGGGGGAGACTATGAGGAGAGTATCTTTAGAGTAATCCTCTCCTATTTCACACTTTCTACAGAAGCCGTATGAAGGCTTGAACCTCTTTCAAACATCACGTTTACCTGTTTTACTCTCTTATGCTACAATATAAAAATGAGACCGAGCCATATGAGATGTCAAGATTTATTTGGGTAACACGTTCTTTGGAGTTTAAATCAAAGCTCTTGAGTTTTCTGACCACCTCCCTGATTCAGCAGAATCGGTTACTCCTCCCTGTGTTACCACAGCACTTTATATTAGCCCTGGCTTTAGGTCTTCACATTGGCATATTTCATTTGACTAAATATTCCCTTCATCATCATTCCTTGAGGTCCTAAGAGATCAAGGATGACTTTATCTTCATCATCTCCGAATCTCCAGTTCCCAGAACGTGTCTCAGCACAGAAAAGTAGCAATCCATTGTTGACGAATATATGACTAAATAAATACCAGGCTGTCTTAAGGATTCTCCACCAAACTGAACCAGAACCCGGGTCTCATCTTGGCCAGTCCAAGACAGGAGATTCCACTTAAGGGAGCCAGCCTCACGCCCAGATGCCACCACCTTCAGTTTGGGTCCTACTTCTAATTGAAGAGAGAAAACTGACATAGGAAATTTGAAAAAGGTCTGAACATGCAGAACCACAAAGTGGAAGAGTTGTATAATTTGATTCCAAAAAGGTGCCCCATGCTTCTCCTCCTCATTGTTAGGGATAAATTTGCTCAAACTTCACCCTGCCTGGAA